AAAAAAAAAAAAAAAAAAATCCTATTTTGCTTTGTTTTTTTAAATTTTAATTATGCATTTAAAACTTGCTTGGGCTGACTGTTGCTGTTTGTCTAGATCTTTGGCTGATTACTTTACTTTACTTTATTTTCCTTTCCTTTTGGAGTGTGGTGTCATTTAAACTTTCTTTTTTTAAAATTTTCTTTCTCCCTTCTTTTGTTAACCTTTAACCCCACACACAAATTTCTGGCTGTCCAGCGTTCAGAACGCTTTCATCTAGCTGCAGTTTTGGTGAATTTACTTCAGCTTTTCCTCTCCAGGCTGTACACAGTAAGTTCTACCCAGTGGGAAATTCAGCTGCTTTCATTTTATTCTGCTGTTGTATAACATTCTTATTTAGTGACAGTATTGCACACCTTTTCAGCAGTTAACTTTTGTTTGGTTTCCAAATACTTGTTCATAAAACCATTATTTAACTGTTAGAGATGTGACTTGGCTAACTGAATATCAATTTATGCCATCTTGCAACATACATTTATGCACTAAGGAAGCATGAAAAAAGTACTATTATGTTACCTCCCCTTGTAAACTAAAATACAGTATAACTGATCCTCTGGACACATGGTCTTAAGTCACAAATTCATGCCTTTCTAGATGGTTAAACAAATTCTGTTGTGCACACCCAAGAAGTGGAGCTTTCAAACTGATTTCTCTATTTTTTGAGATCAGTAGCGTGTGGTGTATCTTATAAATATAATTTGGCTTTTCTAATGCATGTACTAGAAAGCAAGTGGTCTCAGATGTCCTGTTAGTTGTTTTCTTTTATACTTGCTCCTCAAAGCTGTGGTGTCTTGTCTGAATTGGAGGAAGCCAGGAGATCTGGGAGTAAATGACTGTCTCACTCTCTGTCTTGGCATGGTAGCATATTGTGCTATCTTTTGGGTGTTCTAATCAAACTTGTGTCTGTAGTGTACTGAAGTCTAAACTGGTCAATTTTATATTGAACCATTATGGAAAATAGGCCAATTCCTAGACTATGACAGCAACACAATTGAGCTGTCGTATTTTGTGGTTTACAAATAGAAAATACCTCCAACTTTCTAGTGAAATATTTATTGCCTGAGCTAGTTTGACTTAATGTAACACTGAAACTGTAGTTTTTGCACACTTTTTAATTGGGATGTGTTTGAGTTAGTTATGGTGGTTTACCTTAGGTTTTGAAGTTGGAAAAATGCTTGTTAAGATTTTAATTCTGTGGGAGAAGGCTTTTGAGGGAGCTTATGGTATATAGTGTAACTGCCTCGTGTACCACAAATGAGACAGAATAATAGTACTCCTAGATGGAGTAATACTGCTAACGAGTGTTTGGAGAGGCCACCTAGCCTTGCAGTATCCATTGTGTTTAACTTATTTTGTTCCAGGTGGGAGTGCTGGATCAGGGAATGCTAACTTTGCTCACTTTGATAACTTCCCCAAATCCTCCAGTGCTGATTTTGGAGCCTTCAGTGCTTCTCAGAGCAACACAACAGCAACTGCAGCCAGTAAAGCTGCAGTGAATAAACCAACTCTCCAGTCAGCAGACAAATATGCAGCTCTTGCTAACTTAGATAATATCTTCAGCACAGGACAAGGTATTAACTTTTGTTCTCTGACTTGTTTTTATTGTTTCTCCTGAGATTTGGTTGTGCTTGTCAAATGGTAACGGTGCATATTGTTCTAAAAGGTGTGTTCTGAAAACTTCTTCATGCTTTCAATGTTTTAAACACTCCTGGGTTGTGGTTTGGCTTCACAGAAAAGCATACTTTTTTTTTATCCATATAGTTATCTGTTTTAAAAAAAAAAAACCTTATGAAAGGATCAGTGCCTTTTTATGACTTGATCACTTAAAATTTGGCATCTTGGTACTGTTCCAATGGTGAGTATTCAAGTAATACATTTTCAGGTTTCTAGAAATTATTGAAGGTATCCCAGCTGAAGTCTGAGGTAAAGATTTCATAGACATTAGGGCTGGAAGGGACCTTGGAAGAGCAAGTCCAGCCCCCTACCCCAGGGGCAGGTAGTCAGCTAGGGTCAAAGGACCAGCAAGATAAGCATCCAAATGATCACCTTTTCTGCTGAACAGCTACCATTTTACAGCTTTCCCAGATGTTTGTACAACTTGGTGCTTGCTTGAGCCTCTTAACTACTAGCACTTGTAATGAGACTTTTAAAGGCTATTATCCTACATATGCTAAAGTAATTGTGGGTTGAATGAGGTCAATAGCCAACTGTGAGAATCTAAGTTAAATTTAAGTCTAATACACTAAAATGATAAAGTTAGTAATTACCAGGCAAAACTAATGAGTTGTATGGCTTTATGTTCTTCACCTTAAAGCTGTCAGTTTGGGGAGTGACACTTTCAGTGAGCATTTAATTATAGAGAGGATGTTGGCTGATTTTGAGTGACTACAGTGAAGCTTCTGTTTTTAAAGCTATTTCCTGTTGTAATAAACAAATCTAATAGCAATGGTTAATACACATGCAGCAGGGTAATTCACTGTTTTAGTCTGGATCTCCCCTGGCCTTTGTGGATCAAGAAGCTGTATAGATGTTCAATAATGTTAAAAATATAGTAGCTACTGTACACCTTGGTATTGGTATGTGTTGGCTAGCGTGACCTACCTAGTTCAGTGAAACTTACGAGAATATCCTATTACCAAGCTTAGTTGAAGAGACAGAGCTGTTCTTGTCTGTCATCTCTGCTTTTTACCAGCTTAGCTCCTCCTTTTCTCTTTTTTTTTTAGTTTATTTTTTCTATATGCCAGAAAATAGCTGTTACTTTTCAACACACACTGTCCACTTTTAGATGCTACCAGTTGTTAACAGGAAGTTTTTAAAAAAACCCTGTATTCTCCTTTTACAATATAAAATGTCATGTATGCATTTAAATATCTCCTGCAGTTTTAATGGAGATGGCTGAGAACAAATATCTTTGGAGGAAAAATGATTTCATGCTATCCTTTTGGAATTGATGCATTTGATCTACATTACTTTCTTTTCATGATTTTAAAGTGTAGCTACCCAAAGTAGGGTTAAAATGAAAAATGAGCAATCAGTTGTAGGGTAAGTCATGTAGATGCATACCACCCACCTTCTGGATTCAATCTGTGGCAGGACTGAAGTCAAATTGGGTTACTTATAAATTAGTTTATAAAGTATGAAAAAGTAAGGTATAGGTTTCTTGTGCGTTTGAGGGAGTAGTAAAATGATTTTTTTTATTCCAGCCTTCTGTAATTCGTTAGCTTTTCATGCCTTTATTTTACTCCCAAGTGTCCAAGAATGTCTCAATGTGATATTCAATACTGTATTCTGAAATAAGCCTGCGAGTCAGTTGTGGGATTTTTGAAGAGTACAAAGAATACTATAAAATGTAAAGCATGGACTGTCTGCTTATTATGGTGGAAATGAAAAGCCATTGTTGACTTGACCTCTATTTGCTTAGCATTAAAAGCATAGTGCTTCATTTTAAGTCACAAACATGAGGAAATTTTTTTTCATTTTTGCATGTCTATGTTCAGTAGTTCATGGACAGTGACGTCTGTCAGTGCTATTTTTAAACTTTTAAATCTGATGTGTGTGTATATATATTTTATTTCCCTCAGGTGGTGGTGAACAAGGAAATAGCTTCAGCACTGTAGTTACAGCATCAGCAGGTCCTGTTGTATCAGCCCCAAGTCAGTCAAGTGCACCTTCAGACAAGTACGCAGCTTTAGCAGAATTAGACAGCGTATTCAGCTCTACAGCAACATCTAGTAATGCATATACTTCCACCAGTAATGTTAGCAGGTACTTTCTTGTCAGAAATTAAAGCAACTTTCAAAGTAACTATCTACAGGCAGAAAACAGCTAATTACACTATTTTTCAAAAACTTGTATGACTTCTCTTATTTTTTTGTTTTAGATCATAATTTAACTTTTGGAGCAGTATGCATGGGTATTTTAGCTTTTGAGAGAATGTAGTTTTGATAGCAGTAGTTGGACTACCCACAAGAGGTTGTAAAATAAAAACTTAAGACTAGTGTTTGACCACCTTTTGCCTTTTTACACCTTTTGAGATGCGTACTACATTGCTAGAGAATAAAAATCTTATGTTAGAATTGTTTGCAAGTATAGCAGTATGAATGGCAACTGCTCTATTTTGAATAATATGGGTACAGTAGGCTCTGCTTTATTGTATATTGGCTATTTGCATACTTCTAATAAGAAAAAAAATCTATTTTAATTAAATTCCATCTGGTTACACTACATATATTTTAGCACATCTTAATTTTGGTTTATGCAGTATACTAGGAAAAGAAATGGTTGATCAAATATTGTAAAGTTTTAACAGTGCAGAGTGAGCAAATTTTTTAAAAAAATTCTTAGTTGGTGAATGATTTATATACAGCTTTTTAAAGTCATACTTAATTATGTCATGGCAGCTACATCAGATCAACAGCATGTCTGAGATGGAAATTGTGTAATGTGTGGGATTTTCTTAATTTATTCATCTGTACATTATCAAGCATAAAGGCACAGTGGGGCTTAATGTCATTGAACAGCAAATGCCATAATTTTTCATTTCATTTACCAGTGAATCATTCTTTTTTTAGAGCTGGTGATTTAAATATGGGAAATGACTTAATGTGCAGTGCCACACTTTTTATAATTGAGAATTAGCTGCCCATTTTGCCTCTTCAGTTATTTGGATTTTATCATTAAGAACAGGGCTGTGCAAAGCTTCGGTCCCTGATTTTGATCTGACCCAGTTCGGTGACTGAATCTCTGAATCCAGTTGGAGGAACTTTTAATCTCTCCGAATCGAATCGGAACCCTCCAAATCGATTTCAGACATAGAGACAACTTTAAATGTTTTTTCTACATACCTCCAGATAGCAGGGACTCATGAATGGTATGATGCTGGGGCGCAGGGAGTGTCCCACAGAAGTACAGGGGGCTCGCCAGCACACTCAGCAGCAGACCTGGAAGTGGACCAGAAGCACTTCCGGTCCATTTCCAGGTCCTCTGGGAAGCGCGCAGGGGGGCACCTGGGTACCCTGTGGCCGATTTTTTTTTTTTTTTTTTTTTTTTTTTTTTTTTTTTTTTTT